TCAATTATAAATGTCTAAAAGATGACCAAGTTAAGCCTATGATGAAGACAATTGATTTCTATAAAAAAAAACTGCTCAGGTATTTGCGCTGTTGTAAGAATGGCTCACACGTTTCAACTACAACAAGAATACGCCGATATTGAAGCAGAGCATTGACATTGTTACGACATCAAGTACATAATGTTGCTAATGGCCAAAGTGGGTTAACAAAGGAGCCGCTACCTTATGCTATGCTTTATATTGATCTGGACAAAAAAGATATATTTAATATCAGACACAATAATCACGCTACGATTTCTGTTGAAGTTTCTAGAAGAACTGTTGATATGATATAATGGCAACAGTGCTAACTTTTAGGCCACCCCAAGAACTATTGCAGCAATACGTGTAATTGTGTAAAATGTGCTCTCAACCATCTTACTTAAGAATGTAAACATGAAGACATTTGCCAGCGCGCTCTTAATTATTTAAAATTTCATACCGCCAACTATACAGGCTGCGAAACATACAAGCAAAACAAAACAATACACAAGCAAAACAAAAATTATGTTTCGCACAGCAATCGCGACGTTAATGATCTCTCTCGAGATTCTGATGCTTCCCCTTAAACTAACTATAACAGCAACGCTTTTCCTAATGCTCATCAGCTTGCTAATTAAACAAATACATGCTGAAGCTTTGAAGAATTAAAATTTCTACAACAATTCAATGGATAGTATTTAAGTTGTATTAGCTAATCTGTCGTCAACATAATGACAATATGTTAATCTCAAAGCTATGCGCATAGTTATAAGATTAGAAATGTGAATCTCCAAACGTAACTCCAAGTCATGCTAAAGAAACCGAAACATTTTTATATGTTTATCACTTTTAAATTAAAGGATGTAGTGTTATTTCATGTAATTATGCCGATAATGGAACCTGACCGGCTGGCCAGCAGTTTCGGTTTAATCTGAATAACTATTGTCAACCTCATCTTCAAGCAGCTGGAGATCAAGTTAAATATGTCAATTCTCTGATTATTACCCTCGCAAGACATAATGTCAGGTGTAATAATATAATTACAACCTTTTTTTACATACGTAACTAAATTCATCGTTATAGGAGACTTCAATACCAGGCACTTTTAGCGGAGATCAAAGCTTGAAAATCAAGTGCAAGGAATTTTACTAATGTATGCGAACAAAAAAAAACAGGTTTCTCGCACTTTACACTGGCGGGGGGGGGGGACCCACCTGCCAGCCAAGTGCAGATAGACTTTATTCTTTAGTTGATTCTAATGATTTAAGGATTGACCACAATATATAGTATATAATGTACAATATATAGTATGCAATATTTTTGTTCAACAAGTCCTGGATAATGATGAAATATGAAATGATTGTTTGAGAGACAGATGGCGCATGAATGCACGCGCGCAACATAAAGACTTCTACACATGACATACAGGGTACTTTATTGTATCAACAGCAAAAGCGCATAAATGATTGATTGAGAAAGTGGTTGTCTAGTACTTTGCTTATATCAGCCTTCAATCTGCCTCCAAATTTGTGTCGAATGAAAAGCAATCGTGAACAGCATTAGTTTTTGGTTTTTGTTTGAAGAAAACCGCTGCCGATTTTCATTTTCGGAAGAGACAAGAAACACCACCCAATTAGTAAGAAAATGCAAAATTGTATGCATTTGTATATGAAGACGATGCTCGAACAAAAAAAAAAGAAAAAAGTCCGCGGAGCAACTTTTATAAGTTCATCCGCCACAGCTTGTAAGTAAGTAATGAGCAAGAAACCTGTTTTTTTTTTTTTTTTTGGGCTTCAGTAAATACAGATATGCTCAGGCATGTCCGTCGCCCAATTTTGCACACTTTCAATACGAGCCTGCCTGCTTACAAGAGTTTCCAAATGCTTCTACCAAACTTAGTCTCGATTATTTATATTTTATTGCTTACAACAGACATTGCTCAGTAGAGTAGATGGCCATACTTGTATCAATTAAAAATTTGATGTTTGTCAAGAATATTTATACTTTGTGGGATCTATGTAGCTTCCCCTGGGAGTGTTGCAAACATTCAATAAAATGAATGTACCGTTCATTCTTCGTGGTCGTGAATATAAAAATCATTTTTTATTTGTCCTGAACTACATTCGACTCTTAAGATGCATTTAGAGCATTTAATCATTTCGGCGAAAGTAATACGAGTACAAAGATATCTCTGGCCACACTAGAAGATTTTATTGAAATTGCCAGATGTAAAACGTAATCACGTAAGTTTGGTTATCTGCTAACAATATAACCTCGAAGTACTAAAGTCTCTGTAGGGTGGCTGACACAATAAGGCGTTATTCCTATTTCCGGATTGGGACCGACTTTTTACAAAAATTTATGGTAATTGGATAAAAATCGTCTGGTTTGGCATGAACGCATACAAATAAAACAAAACAAAAAGAAAACAAGAAAACTGAGCGCAAGAAGAAGTTTTGTAGTGGTGAAACAAAATCGCTCCGCAACCAACCATTGTCTTTATCACTTGGGAATTTTTAAACCGAAAACGAAAATTGCGCCTCATTATCTCAGCCCTCTATCGGTATCATATAACTTTTTTTTGTGCGAAAATGTCAGTTTTTATGCCGAGTAAGCGTGATTAGCGGTTAAGTGTACATTTTTTACTTGATTTAAAGGATGGTGTGTCTGAAGTTTTACAAAAGATGACTAGTGAAGGCCGAATATCAAGGGCTGTCCCGTTTGGCAGGTTGGCAGTCCGGCTTGTATTGTGGTCTGTGCCAACCAAATGAAAACATCGGTCAGTAAACACTGCCAATAATAATTGATCCAAATGCGATCAAAAATAGGTGTGAAGAAGACGTTGCCAAAAGTCATGATTTCGTGAGTTTTAAGCATAAAGACATTTGAACCCATATAGCAAAACTCGTTTAGGACACGTTTGCAATTCTAACATGTAACGGCCTAGCCCATCCGCCATACTCATCAGACATTGCCCCTTTCGATTATCCCTTGCTGTGGTCGATGGCACATCGCACGTCTAAGCAATGCTTTAGATCACAGAAAGTTACCAAAAATTGCGTTCATTCGTGGATAACTTCAAAAATTGAAGATCTCTTCCGACGCGGTATCCAAATGCTGCCAGACAGATTGGAAAAAGTAATGGCTAGTGATGGACACTACCTAATAAAAAAAAGGTAATGTGCCGTTCTTTCACAATAAATTCCTGATTTGTACTCCTATATATATATATAATTAATTTTATTATATATTTTCGAAAAGAAGAGGTAATCGCTTTAGATAAATATTTTATGAATTTTTGAAATGTATTCGAAGCATTTCTCTTCTCTTCAGCACCACAAGCCCTAAGCCTGAGTTTGATTCAACACCTTTTGAAGATTTCTAATTACGTTTTATGATAAATTTTTCTTTGCCAGAATGGAAGACAGATGGCTTTTTATTAAAAAAAAAAAAAAAAAAAAAACAACTAAAAAGGATTTCTGATCATCAAATTCGCCATAACTGTCGTCATTTCGTGATATAGGTTTTTCAATTTTTTCCGTTCAAAGGCTGTTTAAGTTCCTGTAGGTCGTGATGCTGTTACCATGCCTGTGCGTGCAAATTTTTTAAAGGATTAGTTTTCCGATAACCACGACTACGATATCGGGTTTTCTTCTTATTAAATTCAATTTTTTTTTTTTGCCTTAAGTATAATCGACATTGTTGAATAATATTAATACACAGGAGACCACTGACAACACATCGCGCATTTTGTCAGATATGCTAACAGATAGGTGTGTGAGTATGAAGTTCCGTGGAGTGGATGTGTTACAATTTCTGGCAATTAGCCAAAATTATGGTGTTTTTATGCGGAATATATTCACACATGTGTTGAGTGTATATGCATGCATCTACATATATGTAAGTATATCTTTATATATATATATATAAATATATATTTACTTTTTATACGTTTAGAGCCGTGCGCCTGCACAAACCATTCGTGTGTTCTTGAAATTGATTGAAAAAAATTTAGGCGAACAGTCATTAAGTCTCGTTAAATACTTCTGAACATCATCATGCCAATTAGGGAGACTATAAGAAAACTGAATAATAGATGATGACCTTGACTTTCATTCCTTTATTGCATATCCAAAATGCTTTTAACCACCTCGTTTTTCCCTGGTTTGATCAAAATTTTCTATCAAAAACGACTTCGTGGATATCCACAAAATAACATTCAAAATACTTTATGTCGATATTCTATCCTAGTCATCGTAATTAAAAAAAAAAAGCTTACTTGATCAGCTTGCTATAGCCTGTTGTCGTTATAGAATATTAGTAGGCTATGCTTTTTAACTTCGAACTTCAATGCTATTTAGAGGATTAAGTTTTCATCTCATTTCGAAAATATTTCATGGTGGTATTCTACGCCCGCTTTCTGCTTCTAGCATCAGAAATGAGCTTACAGAATTAGCATGTTTGCGGAATGGAATGACTAAAAACGGAATGACAAAATTAGTCCTTAAAGGCGACGTTAGAGATTATGGTACATTTACTGTCCGAAATTTGGTGCCTACTGAATGGTTATAATGTTGAGGTCTCATCTTCTTACTTCTATAATAGGTTACAAAAATGAAAATCTCAAGTGTTGAAAATCCTTATAAATGTGAAATAAAATTCGCCTCAATTTACTAAAAATACTAATGAATGGAGAATGGATTGTTGACATCCTGGAGAATATTCTAACATCAAAAAATTTCCTTTTTATCTACGGCAATCGTGAACGTGATTTTAGAGTTGATTTGATGAAAACATACGCCAAAGAACCCTGTCATCTACAAGTACTGTTCCATATTAATAATGAACCACATCGGCCATATATCCATATATTCGTATATATAGGCTTATAAAGTAGTATGATTTTGTAGCTAGCTATTCAATCAAACAAATCGACTTTTTTGGATAATTTTGACGAAAGTAAGTATGTATTATTGTGATTATTCGACGACAAAGCAATAGTAATTTTTAAACATTAGGGGCACCTCATCATCGGATATGAAGTTGCGTTCCGGCTTAACAGACGCGAAGGGATTTAAATGCGGCGGCAAAATGACATTCAAATGACGATTACTTTCTTGCAAGAATCGCGATAAATCCAAAGGCATTTCATATTCAGTATATGCAGTTACCACAACAGGCACTTTTAATTGAGAAGCTGTTAGAATAGTTTCAGGCCACGTGTCTTCCATTTTGTAGCCGGTTGAACGATAAAGGCCGGCATTAAAAAAGCAAACTGCAAGTTGAACAAAAAATAATGTAATAAAAGTGTAGCAATCACATTTTCAAATTAACGACATCTTTCCGCAAGATCTTAGCAAGATTTGCATCTCATAATTCATTTTGTTGTAATTTGAAACGTTTTATTCAAATTACATATCAAAGACAAGCAGTTCCTATATTTATTTTAATTGGTAAGAAAAGAAGAACATCAACATTTGAATGTCGAGCGGAATGTCAAGTAGACTTGATCAGTTCATTTTGCTTACTAATGAAAATGTTGAGTCAGAAGGGAGCTTTATTGGCGTGCTTACAAACGCGCACATCAGTCTTGGCAAATAACGCTTTATGAACTGTTCGAAAAAGATACCCCTGACGACGGCACGTCATCGATAAGTTTCGACTAATTATGAAAGCACTTACATAAATCGTAAATTTAACAAAAAAAAAAAAAAAACAATTTCAACCAACGGCTTAGCTTCTCAATAAATAACAAGTCCCGACGGATTAAAACCAATCAAATGAAAGTGGAAAAAAAGATTCTAGACAAAATATTTCAAAAAGTGTTTTTATACCCCACCTACCCACCCACATCAATTGTGACAGTTTCTCAATCGATTCCAGCTTCTCTGTCCATCTATTCTTCTGTCTCTTCTTTTGTCTGTCTTGTTTTGTTGTATTCAACCCACAGAGCATAATTTATGAGATATTTTGATGAAATTCGGTACAGTGACGTGTTTCAGCCCAAAGACGAACGCCCTTGAAAATGGATCCAATTGGATCACGTTTTTGATCAATTGTAACATCCTACTTTGATAAGCCGCTGTACGACTACTTATAGGATTGTGTAGGGTATTTAATAGTGCCTTAAGAAACTACAGTAATTAAGTAATATATTGTTGGTGGATTTGAAAGCTTACTTAAATGTGGCTTTAAAAAGTCAACCGTTCGACAGTATTCATGATAAATATTCGCTGCAAAATAATAACTCACGGTACGTTTGTTTTTACGACAAAAACGGCAGCACCTGTGGATAAAGATTATCATTTTTTTGAAAACATTTTTTAAAATTGTAAAAATTCATGGAATCACTGACTTGGTTTTCTTTAGCTGATCAAACGATATATTGCATGCATTTAGCTCGGGACCGACAAAAACCACATTTAGTCGCCTTAGAGTTGGCGTGATGTGTAAAAAGAATAATTCCCATTTATGTAAGATATCGACCTCAAAATCAATTTCGGCTCCTGAAAATTTAATTATGGAAATATTTAAAAGAAAATATATATTAGCATATATATAAGCTCTATGAATACTTCCGTAGCGAATTTCGGATCAGTGTTCCAAGTTATTTTTCCGCTTAATATTAAGAGAAAGATTGAAATTAATTGAAAGCTTCAGAGACAGTATAAACTGTGCATGATCCGCTAGAGCAATATGTAATAGTGAATCTATCTACACACAATTAACTGTGTGCTTGTTTATGGCGAATCCTTATTCCATCGCACTAATTAAGACAATAAATTTGAATTTGATAGAAGCACTAGCACTAGTTCTTATACACAGCTCAGTACTGTAGATATGACCAAACTATCAAAGAACACGCCCACTCCTCAGTTTTCAAAAGCAAAAGGAGAGAGTCTCTCCTTCATTGCAGATATGATAATAAAAATGTTTCGCTACATTTTATGAGTGATTCGACAGGATCTGTACAAAAATGTGAAAATGTCAGTCGATTGTTGAAATTATATTAATGTAAACATAATGGGCGAAGATAATTCGAACACAACCGAATATAAATTTTTTACTTGTTTCAGTCATTTCGAAAAAGCAAAAACGCCTCGACAACTCTAAACACCGAAGATGTATGTCAAAGTCTGCATAGAGAGAAAGTCGATTTCATTGCAAAAATCAGGATTATCAAGATGGTGTTCGCTGATGTCGATCAAAACATATCTTTAATGGATTTTAAGTGCTAGTAGGCGTGACTTAATAATTTCAGATATTCAGGGAATATAAAGTCGATTTTGGAAAATTAACTGTTTTAACTCATATCATATTGAAAATGCCATCGATCATTGCTACGGACTTATGCATATAAAACCTATTAAATGTATAGTCAGTTCCTGATTATCCCTTAATTGATCGCATAATTTGAGGGTATACCACGATGTTAACGGTACTGTAGAAAGTTGTGTTAGAGCAGCATATTCACAACTGTTTTCCGTTAAATCTTTAAGGAGAGAGAGAGAGAGAGAGAGAGAGAGAGAAGATTTGATAAAAATTATAATAATCATTTTAATCGGCTTTTTTTTACTTATGTTCAACTTTTTGTAGATATCTTTAGTTTTGCAGCAATTAACGGGTAAGTCTTTTAAGATTTTTTTTGGCAACTGAGGTTCCAAACGGCCGAATTTTTCTTGATGTATTATTAGTTGTTTAAACAGCTGAAATGCTTTGCACCATTTCTCATGATCATTAGGCAAATGTTGCGGGTTTTCTCTGCAGTACGATACCATGCCGCAATTGTTGCAATTTATCAATTTCTCAAAACGATATTCTCTACATTTTACATTGCAACAGAGTCGTCCAAATAGTATTAACTCTTGTTCGGTCGCAGTTAGAGGACGATTTATGACCGCTTCTACATTACGTATAGTTATAATCCGATACGATCGAAATTGTTCAGATGTGAAATTTGAACATTTATAAAATATATGCTCGCCTGTAATATAAGTAAAATCTAATTAACTTCTTATTTACTTTTTTACAATGCTTTGGCTAATTAACAATTTAGTGTTGAGGCAGATCATGGGTTGGCCAACAGCCAAATAAATAGTTGACATACGACAAATGTCTTAAACGCAATTGTGTGTGTATTGAGTAAGTTCATTAAACTTGTAATCAAATTGATTTACATTTAAAAGCACATATATTTAAAAGTGTTTATAAAAGATATTAAAGATATGTAATTAATTTAAAAGAAATTATAATAAATTAAAATTGATTAAATTCTCTACTTACCACTGCTATCGGCCACTTGTTTTAAAGCAAAACATAACTGACGGTGTTCAATATCACTTCTCATATGCCCTTTGGAGCAATAATAACTCAGTTTACACCGGGAACACTGCACCATCCCAGTCCGACCGCATAGATCACATTTACACAACTGCAAGATAAAGACATGAAATAGTCCTCGCATTCTATATACGCACACAACTCTATATGGAAGGTTTAATCTTCTTAAAGGGATGCATAATATTTGCATAAAAGCATTAATACCTTTTATGAAACTGTAGGCGTGTAAATTAACTAACAACCAAATCACTCTTATATTCATCGTTCACATAATCTTGATAAATGTTCATACCCATACATATATGTATATATATATGTATATATATAAATCAATATAATATCAAGATTTATATCAATATCACTTATGGACGACAATTTACATTTTTTCCGCATTGGGCTTGAGATTTATGATTGACCAATTACTCTCCTTTTCAAACTTCACTTGTGGCCATGAACTAAGCATATGTATGCAAAGTTTAAACTTGCTAACTCAATTTTAGGGATCGTAAGTGTTCTCACAACGGACTTCACTTAAATAAGTAAACCGACATTGCTGACGGACATGACTAAATAGATGTTAAGCCTTAAGCTTTTTGCTTAATTAAAAATAAATATATATATGTATATATATATATATATAACATCTATTTAGTCATGTCATATATATATATATATATATATATATATACCGATGTGCATTTTTAACTATAATGAACAGAAGTCTGGTTAAGTATGAAAATCAACTCAGTCGGTTTACGGACGCATCATTGTTAAGATTAGAGTTTTTTATAATTTTACGGATCGTAACGTTTACTCAAGTTTCAAAGTCAAGTAAATCGGATCAATCGGGTCTGATGGCAAGTACCACAAAAAAAATAGCCCACAATACATAAAGATAGTATTTAGTCGGTATAATTATCTAGAAAATAATGATAAATTACAGATATAGTGTGAAATATATATTATATGGGACATAACATAAGCGAATGAATAGATTCGGATCATAGACTGAATGCAACTTCTCTCAACTTCTCAGGTGCGCATTTATTGAAGTGAACAAAAGCATTCTCAGCTGACCTCTGTTAATATATAACTGGGAACGCTATATGTTCTAAAATGTTATCTATCCTAATCCTAAGTGACTGTTATAGGCTATCTAGACTTTTTTTTGGTTAGCACATAACCTACCTAGGGACGAATTGAAGCTATTCTCTGAATGAATCTCAAGAATAGAATATACAAATGAATTTCTGAGTTTTAGAAACGAAACGAAACGAAATGACAACCAAATGATAAAATCCATTTTATCTATAATGGATGTAATTTAAAATTTCAAGTGAAGCTTTTTGTGCGCTTCACAGAACTCACATTGCACAACGATATCAAAAAGTATTTACGCGGCTTATAGATATACTCGATGAATTCATCCTCCTCGTCGGAAGTCTCAACATCACTAATCGGCGCTTGATTTAACATTTTCTTAAGATTTTCCATTATGGTCTGAGGTAGATCTTCACTGCCTGCAAAGTTTTAAAATCGATCAATAAATTTTTTTCTTTTCAAAAAAGGAAAACAAAAAGAGCAAAAAAAAAAAAAAAACAAAGATGAAAACTAGCAAGCATTCAGACCATTCGCCATCATCGATTCCATTTGTTGTTGTAAGTTATGTATGAAAACATTTTGTTGATTGTTAGGTTCAGTTGAAATTTCTGTATTTTGGAGAGCGCTGTCACGAAACTGATCGTCCGAAACCGCTTTTAATTCGTCTTTTAGAATTTCCTCCTTTCTGCTCAACTTTTGTATGTTCTGTTTTAAGACATTCTCCAAATTTTCGAAAGCCTTATAGCCGCTCGAACTTTGATCTCTATTATTTAGGGAATCGTTCGTCTCATCAATTAACTCGGGCAGACTGTCGTCATCGTCGGTCTCTTCGGCCTTAATTGTAGTTTCTGTAATTTCTTCATTTATTGATTCGTCTGGAATTTCCAAATTTTTTAAACGATTGGCTTTATTGCGTGGACGATTACGTTGTCGCGGCTTCTTTTTATGGGGTTTCATTATTTTAACAATTAATAGTTTTGGTTTTCTTTCGTTTCTCTTTTCTTCGTTTTAATAATATTATGCAATTGTTTGATAGCTGAGGTATTTTCGTTTAATGTTTTCCCTTTAAGAGAAGGTTAGCTTCTGTGCTGCTACATTATTCGAAAATTGGCCACTAGCCACATTTGTTAAAGAAAAACCAGAACAAAATGATTAAAATTACTCAATTCGTTTCTGTTCAACAATTTCCATTCAGATATTATGTGCTTTCATCGAGTACTTGCATATAGTACATCCATCTCCTTACATTTTCCTCAACCGAATTAGAAAACATGAGTATATACCTATAGTATGCTCATTCAGTTAGATTAGCAGTGTTTCGTTCTTTAAAAAAAAAAAAAAAAAAAACAAATAAAAAATAAATAAATAAAAAAGAAGAACAAAAACAACAAATACAAATAAAAAATGAAATAATAATAATAAAAAATAACAAGAAGCAAAGGTAAATAAATTTCATAGAATTCACAGACTTTCATAGAAAAGAAATCGAGAAAACCAGAGCGGGATCGACGTCTTAAACGAAAAAAGATTTTGAATATTTTTAAGCCTAGAAAGATTTTCGCTTTACAGATGACATCACAGCCATGCCGTAGTCATAAGCGAGTGTGCCGCCACACCAGGCTATTACGCAATCTCTGCAGCAAGTGGTATCATGCTGGCCTTTTCACAACTTGCCGGTAAACCGCCCATGTTTAACCCGTACCAAAGAAGCGTAACTGAAATATGTTGTGCAATAGCCATGGAAAACCATGGAAACCACTTGGTAAGATATCTGGAAAGCAATGATCTTATTTGCGATAGACAATATGGGTTTCGCAAAAACCGTTTCGCTAATGGAGTCGAGCTTTTCACCTCTTTCACAAAAGTAACGTGGCTGTACTGGATGTCTCAAAGGTGCTCGGCAGATGCTGGCATGATGCTCTAGTTTCCAAATTTATCGAGCTTTCTGAATAACCGTTCGACAGGACCTGCAATCGGAAGACTGACCCCAAATTCCACATAAATGCAGGAGTACAACAAGACTCTATTCTTTGTCCTTTGCTCTTTCTGGTGATCATCAGAGAAAGTCCAAATTTCTGGATACCCTCAAGCATCGGCGTAATGTACATCCACGGGAAGTGTTCTACAGAGATAAAAGAGATTTGCCCATCAATGAAATCCTTTAACAGTATTGCAAGGCTTTCTCAGCGTTCCCACCTACTCGTCCTGAAATTGCCTATATATTGCGACGTTTCCCCGTCTAAATCACTCATACACAAACACTATTCTCTCCTTCCATCCTTGCTGACCATCATCGTGTCGTCGCATATAGCTAGTGACATTTCCCAAAAAAAAAAAAAAATACCTTCCTTCATATCGCAAATTACTTATGCAAATACGAACATTATCGAACGTTTTCGGTCCATGGCTAAGATTACGAATGAAGAAAGATGCTAACTGCCCATAAAAAGCCTACAAATCGCTGCAATTTTTTCGTTTTAAATTCTAGAAGACACAGATCTCAAATTTTTTACAAATATTCGATAGGACCACCGAGAAGTTCCAGCGATAAGGATTTGGTCAATCTATTATTATTATTATTATTATTATTATTATTATAAATTTAGCCAGAGAATCAATTCTAAGACTAAAATCTTAAAAGCATTAGCATATCTAAGGCTTTCGGTTTTATTAAAAACTCTACCGCTCTTGAGATTTGAACCCACGACCATTGAGTTCCTACTCTTGCGAGACTCTTGCCCACTCGGCCACTTAAGCGGATATTGGTCAATCTATTTAAATTGTAATGAATGGGATCGGCATTCGAAAAGGGGCGAATTAATAAAATCGTATCGCTTAAGATTGTCAGACTTGGGTTATGTCCACGTTATTGAAAACATTTGATTTTTTTTATTTTTGGTCCAATATTGCCAGATCTGAATAAATTAGTTTAAGAACTGCTTTGCCAATAATTTCCTTTCTTTTCTATTTAATATGTTCTTGTTGATGTTATGTAATTTTAAAGCGAGAGTAAGTATTGCTAAGTAACCATAGCACTTGGTATCTTCACCATTTATTGTCATTAATAAAATCTTGTACTTTTATTATTTCAGAACACAATAAAGGATTTCAGTACGATTTAATTAAACATGGACGGTAGAACGAGAACTGGCTTAATACCTACACCCAAACAAAGTCGAATTATTTTTAAAAAGGTAAAAAAGAATAAGAAAACAAATACAAACAACAAACGATCTAGTGCACCTTCCGACTCAATTTTCTATATATTTAGAAAATCTTTGGCAGTAAAGAGTTGCCTAAAAAATTTGAAGCTTCCCCTATGGCTTTGTCACTGAGACCTTTAGGTGGATTATATAATCCATATGCAAAGACCTGCTCCGTTTTATGTAATCATCCGGCGTCACCAGAAATTAAACAAATAATAAATAAATGCAAGCAAACATTAGCTGTTGAGGGTAAAAATGTACAACATTTATACGATGCTGTTAGCAAAAAAGCTTTAATTGACACTGTCGAAAACATACCCGAAGATTTATTTCGTCGTTACACCGACACCGATTCTAGGCCGCTAACCCCCACTCCGACTGTAACAAGTGTGCATACGCGGACTAGTGCTGGTTCCTTTCTCAATAACAGACGTTGTATTACTCCCGAATTTAGTAAAACTGAAATTATCAAACGTAAAAAATTAATTCTCGACTTGAGAAAGTCACATTCTCAAGAAACCTTGTATTGGAAGCCAACATCGGATTTCTCTTACAGCACGTTAAGCGTAAATACTGAAGAAATGCAGAAAGCAAGAAGCGCCGGAGCTCTTGAGGAGCACAAATCAAAGAAACCGAAAATGGAAGAAACTAAACGACCGAAATCGTGTTTGGCTGGTACAACCGAATCATTAAGCCAGGATACTAAAAAAATAGAACATATTTGCATAAATGAGCAAGATTTTGAAGATGATAGCGACATCAGAAGAGGAAAAAAACGGAAAAGGATGAAGCCAATCACAGGTAAATAAAATGCTTTACGCCGCTATCTGTGCATTCATATTGTCAAGTTAGTGTGTCGTTTTATAAAGCTACAGTTACCCCTACCGCTACCTTTCACTTAAGTGAAGATCCTGAAACTCAAGTATCGGCTCTTGGTCCCGATTCTTTAAACCCTAGCACTAGACCCAGTTTGATACCTAATTGCGCTAATTTATTGCCTAACAAAAATAAACTGGACAGCGATCAGATACCTCTAAAGGGAAGCTTTTTAACTGAAGAGGCTTTTAGGGCCCTCAAAACTGATTTAGATGTGGATAAAATTGAAAACACTTTTGAGATATTTGTAACTAGAAAGAAAAATTTAAACATTTGGTGTTCGTTTTAAGCTATATTTTCAAACATTTTAGTTAAATCGTGCTTTAAGGGAAGCTTTTAAATATTTATCGAACAAACCACATACCGACAAATGCATATCAGAAGAATTTAAAAAACTCAACGTAACAAATAAAAAAACGCCCAGAAAATTCTCCAAATCAGCAACCAGGTTCGAGGTGCCTATGAATTTGGCGACCCTAGAAGGTTAACCATCTGGAAATGTTTTTATTTAGGAAAAAAAAAAGATTACATACTGCATTATTATGCTTCATTCTAGAAATTTCTGTCTTCGATTACCTCAGCAATTATGTTTGGGTTACGCGACAACGTAAGCAAATTTATAAAAAAATTTTTCTGAAATATTTTAAAACAAAAGACCATGAAAGCGATCATGAAACAATGCAAAACGATCAAACTTTTCCCCATTCGAATTACACGGAAAGGACTATCGGCTTAAATCATTTACCGGCCGCTTTAGAAGATGTTCTGGAATTTTACGGAAATGAAATGAATATCAAAAAAATATTAAATTTATTAGACTATGAAAATATTAAAAAAAAAATCAAAAATATTAATTTCCGTTCATGGTGCGGCGTCGTAGCATTTGCTGAACGTTTGGCTATAGACGATCCACATGGTACAGACTCTTGTGACGAGGTTAGGCAAATTATCCAACAAAAATGAAAAAAATCAATAATTGAACTTTACTTACAGTTGGAAAAGCAAGATTTCGACAGTTTAGATTTGCGGCTACATAATTACCAGGTGCTCGATTCCTTGAGAGAACTTTTTGATATAATAAAAAATACGCACAATAAGGAATATAACTGAAAAAACAATTACGTTTTCGCTTATTAATGCTTTTATATTTTAAAAGTAAAAATCAATTCTTTATTATAATAAAGTTAAATTACTTTTTTTAATATAAATTCTTTCTCTTCTTCTTCTTCTTTTTTACATTGTTTATAGCTAAATTTAACGGATTCTTATTCAATTCAACTAATCATCTGTTGTTGATTCGATGACTCGAATGAGAAGAAGAAGAGAAAATAACAAATACTTGGCTGCATTCTATAAGCGCTGTCATAAGGTAGACTTTTCGAAAAACAGCTGCTTCGTAATGGTAATGAAAGCAACTGAGTTGACATTTTCAAAGTATTAAAGCATTAAAGAGTTTCATGAAGCATAAATATTTTTAATTTAATTATAAAAATTTACAAAAAAAATCCTTTTTAAAGATGGCGACTTTAGAAGATAAATTGCTGGGCGAAAAACTTGAATATTATTGTAGTAGTAGTGAAGGTGAAGATGAGCCAATTTGTCGCGCTGAAGAAGGTAATAGGAAGCAACAAGGAGCTAGGAACAAGCAACAAGGACCGGACGGTTACTTAAACGCAGACGTATGCCCACCACCACCACCATCGGCCGGCGGTTATCGCTATCAAGGCTCGACCAATACTGGGCCTAAAGGTGTGGTTGAGGATTGGCAGCGTTTTAAAAAACTGCAAGCTGAAAAACGGGAAGAAAATGAGCGTCAGCGCATTGAATTGGCGAAAAAGCTAACCATGAGCACAGCCACCGCCCAAGAAGAAGAGGAACGTAAAAGACAAGAAGAGATCGATAACGAGTTAGCCGAACTAATGAGTGAGGATTTTCTACAACAATATCAAAAACAACGCATGGCTGAAATGCTACGTCAATGCGGACACAATGTACAATTCGGCAAAGTATTGCATTTAACGTCACATAAAGAGTTCTTGGATTGCGTCGAAAATGAAAGCAAACATACGACCATAATAATACATATTTATGAACGCGGATTAAGTGCTTGCAGTACTTTAAATAAATGCTTGGAAGCATTGGCTAGCCAATATGCTATGGTTAAATTTGCCAAAATTTGCAGTTCAGTGGCTGGCATGAGTCGTGAATTTCGTAATAAGGGATTGCCCGCTTTGCTTGTGTATAAGGCCCAAGCAGTTATTGGCAATTTTGTACGCATAACTGACGATTTATCCGATGATTTCTTCGAATCAGATGTAGAAAGTTTTCTAATAGAAAATGGCATTTTAATCGATAAAAATTTGTATAACTAAGAGTAAATTAAGCAAGAGCGAAGAAGAGAGATGGGAGAAATTTATTTAAAAACAACTACTAGTAAGTAGTAAGTTGCCCTAAAAGGCATTAATAACAGCCCCCTCCTACTATTGCAATGTGTTCATTTTGCTAACGGTTTAATCGATCCCCTCCAGCCATTAGTTTTAATTTATGATGAATAAATAATATTTTATATATTTAGAGAACAATATTTAAAATTATTTATTAATTTGCTTTACTTCTTGAAAGTAAAATAATGTATAAATTTATATGATTTTATTAGTAAATTCTCTGCTAACAAATAAATCTATTGAAATAAATTTGTTTTTAAACGATCTCGTTAATATTTAACGGTATTACAGATATCTTAGTTATTAAATTTGAAAATCAGTGCTTATTTTAAAATTTATTGAATTTGTGAGTGCATCTCAGAGCTTATTCGAAATCTCGAATAAGTTCACTGCAGTGCAATGGTCCGCTCAGCTATCGTTAAAAAACTAAGAGCAGAACTGTAACGATTGTCTAAAAAAGTGAGGAGAGAATATATCGTGGAAGGATCCTTATTGATAATCAAAATGAGTAAATTGTGTTTTGCCCTAAACAGTTTGCGATTTCTTTTGAACACACTACAAATTATGATCATGTAAAACCGCGATATTTAAAAAAGCAAGCGTTGAAGAACCATCAGACGGAAATAATTTCAATGCTTGGACCATAAACTATACAGAAAGAGACGACCTCCTTGTCTTTACGAAATTATTCGCAATAGTGAAGTTCAATTTTGGAGTTTCCATATATCAGAAATTTTTAATATGCACACACCTTTATATATATATATATATATAGTTCGAGTTTAAAAATTAAAGAGCGATTTTCTTTTTATATGAATTAAAAGTGAAATATATCAGTATTGATCTCTATTTATTATTCCTTTAATTATTATTAACATTTTTCAATAATACTAGGAAATAACATACAATTAACATAAATGCCTTCATTTGGAATTGTTATATATATATATATTCATATTCATATATATACACATATATCATTCATATAAATACTTTTTCTTTGAATTGATAGCATAGATGGATTAATTAATTCATAGAATTTCTTATATAAGGATTTATATATATATATATATAAACCCATATAATACAATGAGATTTTGATTATTTTTATTCATATGTATAATCTATTTAATTAAGTTCATGACTTAAATCTATATAGTTATGCTTTTTACTAAGAAACCTTGAACATTACTTAAAGGTATTAATTAATGATAATAATAAATTCAAGTGTAGTAATAGTATTTATTATCTTGACTATGCATTCAAATATTACATACATATTTTCATGTTCACTGCTGACAGATATAGAGATAAAAACATATCCAAATATAGTTTTCTAAATTTCAGTGAAATTATTATTCCGCGCTATTATCACAATAGTCTTTATAAATACGCTTTTGTAGATCCCTATCCGCTAATATGTATATATATATATATATATATATATATATATATATATATATATATATAGATTCTTGTTCGGTATGGAAATCAGGCCACCTGTTGGTTCGTTCGTGGATTGGTTTTGTTTATCACAATCATTAGAATCGCATCTATCAATCTACGAAATTGAATATTAATATAGACGATGATATATTTGCGAAATGATAGTAAATACAAGTCTAAAACTGTATCAATATAACAAACAAAAATATTAGATTATAACCCCTTATAAATAAATAATCATATAAATAAAATATATACAAGACAAAGACTGCGATACAAAAGATAAACTAAATTAGATTATGAGCAAATACCGTTAGTGGCGAATTTCTTATACCCACCAACTGTTTTATATACATATGTAAACAAATTATAAAGTAATATAAACCGTGGCTGTGTCACTACACTAATCATCTATAATGAATCTTTAAGCGGCTCCGATAAATATTTCAAACCAATCCATAACAAATGTTGATCGATCATTTTCAAACTTGAAAGCATCGATCGATCAATCGATGCAATTGAATATATATATATACATATATATATATATACCTTAAGGGCTTTTGATGCATATTTACAAACGGAGCGGAAAACTTTTTTGTGTGTAGCGAAGGCCACGTGCTAATAAAAAATACGATCGTAAATTTTGTAGAGACAGTGGATCGATTAGCGGTGAGCTCATGCCCGAACTGTGAACTCACCAAAAGGCAGTCGAATTAGTCTTGATTTGGCATCCGTAACGGCTTCCGACAACACACTTTTTCGCTTCGGTGGTTAAACGTAACGTAATTCTTAAATAACTTTGTTAATCATATACTGAAATTATTTTTTTTGCGATTATATCTAATCTAAGCTTATACTGTACAAATCTAGCATTGTCTGCGAATTGAGAGCTACATGAAAGAGAGACAGTCGGAGAGAGAGAGAAAGAGAGATTATCCATTCACGAATCAAGCGTGGAATCATCTCATTTCAAATTGAATTTTTGGTTATTTGCTTTTTGTTTATTTATTTTTAATTTTAATTTTTTTTTCTACTAAATTTTTTTTTTTTTTAATTTTAGATATGATTTTTTTTGAATTTAATTGTTATCCTTTTTCAAATTTAGTTTTTTTTTTTTTAATATATAATTTTTTTAAATATATAAAATATATTCATATATATATATATATATATATATATATAATTTATTTAATAGCTGCCTGGAAAAATGACTTGCTTTTGTTACAATTTCGATCTCTTCATTTTCATTTCGTTACGATGTACTTTGCCTCAATTCATTAAAGATTAACTTACTTAAACAAGCATTGAAGACAGAATAGAAATTAAAAAAATGTCAGACTTGTAGTGTGTGTATAAAAACTTAAAATATAGAAGAAGAAAGACACAAAAAAATATAAAACTCTTAGGATTATTTAATTATAGTCTAGGAGCTTTAAACGTAATGGACGACTCTATTGTACAGCTTTCATTATTGCCATTATTGTGTCCGGCATTGCTTAGAGGGTTATTTAAGATGCCCGCCGGTACCACAGCCAGAGACCGGATATTGCTGGTTGTAGTGTTTGCTGTTGCCGCTGTTACCGCAGTTGTCGTTGCTATTATTGCTGCTGTCGTTGCCAATCCCACTTGTTTCTCTTTGTGGCGTTTCAAAGATGAACGCAATGGATATTGTCTCGGTATATTAGCACCCAGTAAAATGCGACGAGTGGATGGTCTTTTGTGTATATACTGTACAGATTCGGCACTGTTGCTTAAACGGATGTTCCCAACTTTGTTATAATTTTCGATTTATATACAAGGCATATATTTAAATGAGGCAGGATTTGTTGGGGTGATATTTTGCCATATGGTGAATGTTAAGTACATGTTCATATAACATTTGGAATTCGGTAATAACCCAAAATACATAATGGTACACAAACATAATTAATTGAATTAGAGAAACAAATGAAAAAAAAAAAAAAAAACAAGAAAAAAATGAAAATGTAATATTTTTTTTAAGATATTTATTTTTTTTCTCAACACAAATATACACACACACACACACACACACACGCAATCAATGTTTATACAGTAGATGTAATATGTAATAGTATCTCAGTTTAGGTGGTATGTGACGGAAGCTTTGACAGAAATTTACTTTTTTTTTTTTTTTTTGTTTTGTGTCATCGATATTTCAAA